TCCTAACGCCCCCTAGCACCGGCTTGAGCGGTACTCAATTTTCAACACTTAAAAGTGCTCAATCAATGATCCCGAAGGACCATAAAATATAACAACACTAACCAAACGAATGAATGATATGCACTTCTCTCGATTTAAGAAAGGTCGCCTTCAAAATTATACTGGAATTCATTCACTGCAAATGTCAATATGATAAAATAGTTCATTTTACGTCAAAAATCGTTCTTATGTAGATCGTAATTAATTTTTAGACCTGGGTCAATTTGAAGCATAATGACTAGCTCTACTTGAACGTTTGTTTCTTCTTTCCTAACATGGAATTATACCCAAATAAAGAATGCGTTTGTTCATTTTCGATTCTGGTGTAAACACCATTATTTGTGAATGAATCGCTCAAGAAAGTGATGTGTCTGATACACTATCTTAGAGCGCACACACGACATTATAATAGAAAACAGATTTATCTCCCGTTCACCATTGTCATTCACCGGAACTGGTTGCCTTTTTCATATTTAAGTCATTCGAGTGGACACAACAGGTACTTCCAGTCGTGATTTGAATGAGATAATAGATCCGAATTTACGAGTATTAAATATGAGAAAATGCTGGACATGGTTTTGACTTTGTTAATATAATGCTCACGTTAATTTAACTTCAAAAAGCGCTTTCCCTTTAAATGTTGTGGTAGCCGGCACACACTTATATCTCGTCAGTTTATATTCTACCAGTACCATGGGGCGTAGGGGGTGTATGTACTGAACCCTATTTGTATAACTATTTACTTTTCAGTAAATGAAGCTTTTCTTTTTCACACACCCGTGCCGTTTTTGCGATTCCGTAAAAAAGGTATTGTACGGCCGTGCATATATTTTGACATGACGTCATTAGCGTTATACAAACAGTGTATGTTAGCGTTATATTACAGGCGGGTCAATGAAAAATGACACTTATTTCACTTAAACGGTCTTTATTTTGAGTATGTGATAAATAGAATATTAATTTCGTGAAAGTTCATTACTGAATTTATTCCACTCGTTGAATAAAATTATATTATGATCGCAAGAGGCTCGCATAATATAATTTTATTCAACTCGTGCAATAAATTCAGTATTGAACTTACACTCATTCAATATCCTCTATATATAATGTACCACGACCTTTTATCAAACGTTGTGTAATGGCATAGTAAAATTTATTGTGTGAACCTTGCCTCACAGACCCTATAGCAGGTACTTCACAGTGAAATGTAGACCTATGATATTCTTTTAGAATTAAAAATTCATTAACTTCCACATACATGTACGTGTATATTCTTTCTTTACAAGCGGCACAGTACAAAGTGACTCTTATTTGTCTTAAAGAATGCCTCTAACTTTCGATCTAAAAAGGTCCGAGGGTTTTAGTTTTATGAACAAATCAAACTTCTATGATTGTTATACTTCCTGTCGGATACCCGACCGAAATTCGACAATTACACAAAGTCAAAACCTGTTAGACGTCGGTTTTAGTCGACGGACTTCTCTGTTCCCCTCACAGCGTGCATGTCGCAGAGAAAGCACAGGACACCGACAGAAAAATTGAAGAACTTAAGACGGCGAAAAAGAAAACCAAAACTTGTATGCTGCGGACCAGCTGTCAATGTCCTGACTAAAGCCGGGTGGAGTGGCCTTACAGCAGGAAGGTAGTAAGTAGGTAGGGTAGGGAAGTAAGTAGGTAGGGAAGACGAGTAGGGAAGTGTCCCAGAACGACGGCCTGAAAGGCAGGCCCTTTACTGGCATAACAGTTCTTTTCAGGGCTACCGTCTTTTCGTTTGTCTCAGGTTACTATACATTTAGCTTCTCATTGGCTGCCGTACAGTAACCTACTTTGGCTCAAAATTCATATCTTTGGCTAATACTGCATTGAGGTTAATTATTACCACTCTGTATCTTTAAGAGCATGACTGATGACAAGCCCGGGGTCCGTATTCGACAGTGAAAGACGTATTAAGTGCCTAAAAGGCGGACGGAGCTCATTAAACATAGAATTGTCTCAAACAACAATCCATCAGAAGATTTAATTGACATTGGCCTATAAATGACCCTTGTCCCCTCAGGTAAAAAAACCTGGTTACGCGCCTGTTATATTTTGTTTTTGTGTATGAATGTTATAATCAATTTGATCTATTAAAAAGTCTTGTCTAAAGGATTGCTGTGTTTAAGTATGAAGACAATCCATTTATAAGTAACAAAGTTATAGCCAATCATAGTAAAAATCAAGCAAAATTAAAATAAATGAAGGTCAATGTCATTATGAATCAATGTCAAGTTCAGTCTGGTCTACTTGAATGTCTTGCCAAAAGGGTTTCTGGACGGCTAAGGGAACGATAACCTGAAAAAACATTTCTTCGAAAAGGTCGAGCTGAAATTTGAGGATAAAATCTATTTGTATCAAGGGATAATTTTTAGAATTTCTTATCGATCTAACGTTATACGATCAATTTCTCGAGGCAATTTAGTATGACAAGTATAACACCTTGGCATACATTGCATTTATTTCTTTGCAGAATTGTGATATAATGGGGTACCTTATTTATGCCGTCGCATTCAGTGCTTATAAAAGGTTCGGTTTAAAATAATTATGTAATCCTAAACTACTTTGTCAGTATGTCCATTGTCCATTTATGCATTTATACATTTGATGAATGTTCAGGTAACACAGGCGCTTTTTTTACTGGTAACGCATTTGACTACAAATCCAGAGTTAGATACCCACAACAAAAATTACTTAAAGTTCATTCGGATAAGATTTTTAAGTAATTTTAGTTGTGGGTATCCAACTCAGAACCTCTGGATTTGTAGTCAAATGCGTTACCAGTTAAAAACGCGCTTGTGTTATCTGAACATTTATCAAATGTATAATTATAATTTAAATGATTATGGATGTTTGCATGAATGGACAATGGATGCTGTAAAAATCAAATTGTTTCTAATCGAATGATTTCTCCAAAATATAAAATTACTATGGATGGGAACTCAAATAGGCAGAACTCATCAACATATATCTACATACAAATTTTGAAGTTCTAAGGTTAATGCGCTATGATTCAAAACTATAAATTACTATCAGTTTTCTGGGCTGTGAAAATTGAGACACCCGCGGATTAACAGTGGCGACTATAAAAATAAACGTATACATGTAAAACACAATTCATACAGACGCAGATCATTTTAAGGGAGTATGGTCTAGTTTTCGCGAACTCATTGTATATGTATTATTGTATCATATAGTTTGGGGATCTTTCTTTATATAAACATGCACAGTGCCTTAACTTGAGTGCAGGTATTAGTTACTCCCTTCATACACTCATGTTACTTCACCGTGAGCGATAGTGAAAACAGATGCGCAGGCGAGTGTATCATATCCATTGATTGGCTCATTTTTTTCTCTAGTGTCTCGATATTGTGCCGGCAGAGAAAGGATATCATATTCATTGGTTACTTTTTTGGGGGGGGTCATATTGTGACAACAGGGAACGTGTTTTTATTTTTGTCTATGATACAAAAGAGAAAAAAATCAAACACTCGGAAATCTGATTTATACTCGGGGGGGGGGGGGCTACGCCCCCTCGTACAAATCAGATAGGCTCATGTCTCGATGCGCTTTCTATTACTTAATTGCCTATTGATTATTACCATGTGACATTAATTTAACTCTTTGTAATAGAAAGAACACCGAAATACAAGGCTATCTGTTTGTACGAAGGGGCGTGTAGCCCCCGCCCCCGAGTATAAATCATATCTCTTTTGTATCATTGTTTTAAAATAAAAACATGTTCCCTGTTGTCACAATATGACACCCCAGAAAAAGTAACCAATGAACGAGCATCTGAATATGATATTTCTATCGCCTTCGCTCTCTCTCTGTCGTCACAATAAGTAAAGCCCAATTAATAGGCATTATCTTGAGTGCGGGTAACTAATACCTGCACTCCAGTTTACGCACTGTGCATGAATATATTTAACTTTGATACATTTTCAACAGAAAGGTCCCCAAACTATTATACAATAATGGTAAATGGCACTTTTCTTGTTTCAAGAAAATTGATTAGTGTCTGTTCCACTTAATATAACTACTGTGAAAACAACATACTTCATCATTAGCTTGTATTTGAGGATCTTCCTGCTGAAAATATGTCAGGGTTAAATCGTATACATATACAAGCACAGTGCGTTAACTGGAGTGCAGGTATTAGTAACCCGCACGCCAGATAATGCCTATTAATTGGCTCATATATTGCAGGGGCTTTACTTATTTGGACGGCAAAGAAAGGAAAAGCGATAGAAATATCATATTCAGATGTTCCTTCATTGGTTACTTTTTTCTGGATTTTCATGGTTGTGTTTTAATTTTTGCATATGATACAAATGAGAAAGAACATCAAAACACTCAGCAATCTGATTTACTCTACAAATCAGATAGCCTCATGTGTCGATGCTCGATCTATTACTTCTACCGTTAAAGGGGATGACCATCCATTTTATCTATTCTAAAATAGTTTTTGGACAAGTTAAATGCCAAATAATGTTTCAACTGTTTATGCTTTTTTATTGAAATCCGAGTATGTACTTGGTTTAAAAAGATATGATTAAAAAAGAGGAATTCATGAACTTTACAATAAATATACATTGTGATATAGTGACTAATAATAGTGGATAGTTTAATTAATACAACAATGTCTCTATTTTCATTTTTTTTCAGAATGAATCCTTGTAATCAGTTATATTATGTTATATATTATGTCCATCCGATGGTTTAAAGTGGGTAAACAGATAAAAGTCAAAATAAGTCAACATTTGTCAAAATAAGTTTACATTTAGCAATAAACCCTTTCAGTTTTATAACTTATTTCGCATAGAAATAACTCACATGGACCAAGAACATTTTGTAAATATCCGTCGGAAAGTACCTGTAACGTTCAATGGGTCTTTTAGTTATCACAAACATATTCCAATACAAGTAAAATGGTTTCCTGCGGGGAATATTTTTGATGATATAAAGATATTTCATTTAACTATCTGAACAACATTGTTTGGGTGGGTGGATAAATAAACGTTTGTCTCAGGAATATAGTTGACAATAATCGATCAATATAGAAGAAGGTCTTTGGGAACCGGTGACCGTTAATGACCGGAGAAGGTCGAACATAAAGCAATTATTTCTTGTTAAGAAAATTATTAAATAGGCCTACCATTTTTGAATAACTCCGAGCAAAAAAAAAGCAAACACACAAGTTTTCGCAGAAAACATCTCTATTTATTATGGCAGATGCCACTACGAAAATTTTAATTTTGTAGATTTTCAGTATAAACAATTTATTGTTTGTAACATTTTGAGATACATATTAAAGAAACATTGATAATTTTCAAACACATCATTCAAGTTTTCCCCCCTTAAACGGTATTATAATTATAGAAAATTAAAAATATCACGTAATAGTTTTTTGTTCTTAATTAGGTGTAATTCTGACTTATTCCCTAGAGGATTATCCGTAACGTACCGGCAAACGGTATTTAGCCAGGTTTTCGAAAAGGTCAATTAACCAATCATGTACGGTTTACAGATCACATGCTCCTCCATGTACCGAAAACAGGTCACGTGCTCCTCCATGCCTCAAAAGTTAAACGCGTACCAATACCCCGAGGTCTCCAGACCGCAGGGAATAACACCGTCAATTATCGTTTTAACAGTCTCACACTGCCAATGAAAAAATGACCATAACGTCACTTTAAGATACAAACTTCTACAGGACAGTCTTATAGTTTGCCACAAGTATAGAAACACCAAACTATATTCTTCAGGCTTAATATTTTACTATTTCTAATTTTAAGATATACCAAACAGTGGCCCCTTTGCTTTGCTACACAGTAGTTACGTGCTTTTTTGTATAGTCACATGAAGATTGTGAAGCGTAGCCAATCAAACCACTGTGAACATTTTGAATACATGTATACGTGTATAGTTCTTTATTTCAGCGAGAGCTTATACATTAACACAATTAGAATTGAAACGGATATTCTTGTTGAAGTGAATTTCCGAAAATATTACGATAATATTGCGCAACAGGTTAATCCATGTACGTATACATATTTGCGTTTCAAAACTGAAGTTATAATAGAATTACCATTTTGAGTAAAACAAAAATCTTTCTTTATAATAACAGTGTAGAATAGCAAGCTAGATACTGATTTTATTCAGCAAAATATCAATCATATCTTTTTTTTCAAAAATGAGTAATCTGCACTTTGTTAATGTCATCCATGATGTTTCTAATCTCATCCCAGTTGACCTTTAAAGATGGCACTTGTTTGCACGCTTTCAAAAGTGTTTGAAAGGTTGCTTGATCACCCGATTTTCGGCTCCAAATTCGAAACATTTCAAAGATCTTCATCGGCGTGGTGCGATAGTCCTCTTTAAGATGATCGATTTTTGTTGCTTGAACACCTAACTCTACTCCCAATAATTCCCAATTATCACTGAATGCTAATTGTGAAAGTCGACTTAATACTTTTTCTGAAAGTTCTATTACGGGTATATCATATGATTCAATGCGTTCAGGAAGAAACCATTCCGAAACTGCCTCTTGTACTTTGAAAGTGTGGTTTTCATAATCTTCACAGGGTACCTCTGATCTCGTTTTCAAGTCAGACATATTCATTAACTTGCTCTTTTCTTTACCATGGGATGCATGATTGCATCTACACATAACTGTAAACGTTTTTGAAACATTGTCGATGCCCCTTCGCCGCTGTGATTGATTGAAAACAGACTCAGCTAATCTCCGAAACTCGTCTCCTTGTCCCTCAGTAATTTCACCACTCCGAGCGACGAACATTAATTCTATTGTCTGTTCGGACAAAACTTCTTCAATTAATCCAACGAGATTGCTGCCAATTCTAAAGACTCCAAGATTTTTGAATAGCAAATGTTTCTTCCGAAAAATTACAACCGACCAAGTGCACATGCCCAATGAAGTTGCTATTAATCGATCATATTCAGCTTTTGTAACTGAAGAGTCTTGAAATTGGTAGACTAGTCGAACTAATGTCCTTCTTTTACCATTCAGGAAATCGTCAATGACATTTTGAGAGCTGTGATCCTTTAAAAGACTTGGCACAATATACCAGCCAAGTCCTGTAGATGTGCAGTTCTTCTCGTCATACTCTAATGCTTCGGCAATGACACAATGCTTCTTTAGAATTTCAAGGAGAACGTTACGCCACTTCATGAAATCCATTTTATCATTTTTCCTCCATTGTTGATCAATTAATTTAGATTCTAAAATTCCCTTGCTTGTAAGTTTATTCCATAAGGGCCGATACGTGGAGTCCTTTGTACAAAAATTCTGTGATGTGATAATACATTTAAAAGCATCTACCAGGTACTGGGGGTCTAAAACTACATAGTTTGAAATGCTTCCTTCGTCGAAAAATACCAACGTGCCTCTAGCATGGTGATATTGCAAAAAAAGTGTTACTCCTTCCTTGTTACCGACTGGAAATTCATTTTTTGCATCTTCTTTCATCACTTCCTCAAAAGTTATGATTTTCTGTTTTTGAAGCTTGTACAATGATTTTTCTAAATGTATCCACTTTGCTGGGATGGGGTTCTTAAATTCATCTCGCCTTGCAATTTTTAAAAGTTCTTTCTTCAAATCTTTAATTCCTTTATCGTCTTCATTCGTGTTATCAATTGCAAAGTCCTCAAACTGAATGTGATTCTGAACATCAGTATCATCAAACAGCTCTCTGACTTTTCCGAATTGTACATTAGCAGCCTCTTGCTTTTCTTCATCAGTCCCACGTAACTGATCTTTATGAGTTCCTACCAAAATTACAGGCGGATGAGAGGCATCTCTTGACCCTACAAATGAATGGATAGAATTCATCCAGAATTTTAAGAAATATTCCATAGTTCTATCACCTGTTTCAGAAGGAAATTTCTCGTCCTTGACAATATCGTCCAAACCGCATGAAAGATCAAACACGAGTAAATAAATTGCCCTTGCACTATGAAACAATGTATGCGTTGCATAAAAAATATACTGGCCGCCAAAGTCCCATAATGACAACTCGTCTGTGAAATCTGATCTCAGGGACAATTTACCAGATTTAATTTCTTGTAAAAATGATTTCAGCTCCTCACTTGATTCAATGTCAATCTTGTCGCCTCTAAATACATCATCATTTTCCTCATCATGATCAATATTCTCGTAGTGTTTGTCATCACTGACACTCTCTCGTTCTTTTGCTTCAATAGACTTGGCAATAGAGATAATTCGGCTGAGAAAATCACGATCATCCTTGAAGAAACTTCCTTTTTCATAAACAATTGAGCCATCTACAGAATGTTTTAGATGATACTGACTGATGTCAATGCCATTTGTCATTTCAACATCGTCTATAGACTCGCCGATCAGCCTTCGTACGAGAGAAGTCTTTCCCTGACAAAAGTTCCCAACTACGTTTACCCGAAGAGAGTGATCTAGTTCCATGCCCTCCTGAAGTGCTTTCTTATAAAGGTTTATTGTAAATGGATCATCCGAGAAATCTTGTGGAACTGAAAGTTATTTTTTAAAAAAAACCAATGATGTACACGCATTTGATAATTCAATATTGCTATTTAATTCATAATCTGTAGGACAAATGCAATGTTATTCATATATTTAAATTTTTAATCGTATTGTGCTTTAATTTTGAATAAAGACAAGTAAATGGTATACCTTGCATTATTTCGGAACTGCCATATCCATTGTCACCTAATCTTCTTTCTCCCTGAAGCTATGTTATAGAAACAAATAATAATAATTTAAAGCAAACACACAAACAAAACACATCAAACAAATTTTATCATAGGAAAGCATGAAGATACATAGACAAATACCGGTGCCATATACATTACCAATAAATATGATTTAAATTTGATAACAAAAAATGAGTTTTAGATGTTTAATCTTTATTCACATTTTTATTTTAACCTATGTATCTTTCACTAAAATACCAAACTTTGACGGGCTTATCTGTTAAAGATGCAAAGCATAATGAAATAACTATGGCTTGAACACTAGTAAAAAGGTTAATCAAACTTAAGTCTTTCTTTTTCTGCTCTACATCTTTATCAACGGATTTATTGCATTGTTAATGCTAGTAAATGTTGTAACCATCCTAGCAAGTCCCACAAGAAGCAAGCTAATTCCATTATAAAATGGTCACCAAGTCTTACACAATCGTGCTGTAAACAGTAAACGTAAACAATCAAATCGTTAACATATATTTCAGTTGTTTGGAAGATAAAGATTCGTAAATATTTTTACTTACAATAAGTTGTTCTTGTTGAGCATCCTAAAAGAAAAATGGCCAACTGTTCATGTAGTTTTATTTTGAATCGTGGTTAAAAACCAAGTGACAGAACTACATTTTTATTTCACAAATACATGCTACTACAGCCAGAGATTTGTAATTTAAAAATTTACTTATCTTCGTAGATCTATTTACAAATTACTTTGCAAAACTAACTACAAAATGGTTTACAAAATTCTTCTTCATACAAAGCCCTAAAAATATATACTTAATCAAATAATTTGCTTTTATTCCTGCAGTATAATATTCGTTACATATTATTGGTTTAATCATATTTTATTGCTTAATAATTTGTACTTGTAACATAAATTCATCATTAAATAGAAAACAAAAATCAAATAATATTGAAAAGGAAAAAAATGTATTTTCACAGTTTGAAACAAATACGTTTGGCCGAAGTTTTACAAACATTAATGAAGGTCCTTTCAAGACAAAACTTAGTATCAAAATGTTAGCAAACTTGTTTGAGTAGTAAGTGTGCAAGAAAGACCAAGACACAAAGAAAATATACAAGTTTTAACAACAGTTTGAGTAGAAATACAACGCGTTCTTTAAGAATATTTATCAAATATTTAGTATAAATTATGTATGTAAATATTTTATAGAAAAAAACTGAACGAAAATAATGAGATAAAATATAAACTACAAGCGACATGAAGAAAAAAAAATAAATAAGAAATAATCCTTTTGTTCACCTTTCCCTACCCAAACTGTTTCAAAATAATTTTTTCTACCTTTCAATTGGTACAGTACTTGCAAATAAAAAAATAGTGGTATTAATTTAATATATTAAGTTCGAGCTTAGTTATTTTGATTTCCATTAAAACGACAAGATGTCTTAATGTTGTTTTCTAATGTGCCCAAACGTGATACCATTGACCTCGGGCGACAAGTTTTCAAATCTTTACACTTTACACATGATATGGGCGTGCATTATTAAATAGCTTTTAGCACTGTTGTTTGAAGAAGAAAAAATGATGTGCATCTTCTATTATATATCTACACTTGTGATCATCGCGTCAGTGGTTATACGGATTATTAAATGATAATCTTCGTTATATAGGCTTTAGATAGTATTATCTGTTATATTCTATGATAATTAAAACCCCAGTTAACATGAAAAAAGAAGATACGACACATAATACTCACATTTAATGTTTTTAGTAACTCTTCTTTCTGAAATAGGAAAAAATAAAAAGAAAACATAAAAACAGTATTTCCACGTTTATATGAACATCTTGATTCAAGACCAGTTCATGTATAACTAATGTTTTTAGATAAATCCTCACAGTTAATTTTGAAACATACTATATAGTGTGTATTTTTTTCCTATTTGTACGAATATGAAAATATCCAATACACAATGGAAATTTAAAACTAATAATATATACTCACCACTTGTATATGTTTACGTTTGATGGCTTTTGTCTGAAAAAAAAAAGAATAACATTTCTGTCCATCCTAGTACTAAAGCAGAAGTTACAAAATTCCATGTATGTTTATATTCAAGATATATAGAAGACTAGCAGCATCAGTTATATTCAATTATATATCAAGTTTACGATTCACAATATCGTATATATCAGAAATTCACTGTATATTTAATGAATTAAAGGATTTCGAAGTTTATGCTTTTACTTTATATCTATTGTTAACTACATACCTTTTTCTTTTTCTGAAAAAGAAGCAATTCTAATAGTTATTTGCAACCGAAAATAAACAAAAAATCATATGTGCTGAAATATACTTAAATACCCTAAAGATTGTCCGAACCGGCAAAATTGAAAAAGTTGCAGATTTGATTTGATTGCGAAACTGAAAAGTGCAAGCTACCGTTCACGCCCCGACCACCGACTTAAGATTTTGATTGTAGAAACATCTGCAGATGTGTTCATACGGCCGTTATCATGGAACTTTCAATGTGATACGTAAGTGCTATTCCATGAGAAGCGGAGTATGTTCCCCCAAGTGTAAAAATGCGTGTGCCATAAAAGACGACCTCTTCTACTTTAAAGAATTATAATCCTAAGTAAATTACGAAGAAGTTGCATAACTGATCAAGGAATCTTTTAAAACCAGCTCTGAAATCCGAGTAGTAATATAAAAAATATGTAACATAGAAAAACAACATCAAAAAACAACCCCGAAAAAAGATTTAAAAAAACATGTTTTATATATAAATAATATACATTATTTATATTATATTTGAATGTTTAGAAGACAATATACCTTTTGTTTGTTTGTTTTTGTTGTTTTGTCTTTTTTTGTTGTTGTTTTTTTTAAATCTTTTTTCGGGCTTGTTTTTGTTGTTGTTGTTTCTATGTTACATGTAAAGAACCTTTTTGATACCCTCTTTTCTGATGATATTACATTATGAAAAAGGTATATTGTCTTCTAAGCATGTAATCTCATCAGAAAAGAGGGTATCAAAAAGGTGCTTTACATGTATAACATCTCACTGGCTGACGCATTTCAAAAATTGATTTTTAACAAAAGAAATATATATCATTTGGATATTCTTAAAAGAGCAATATTTCTTTAAAAAAAGGTTGATGCATTTGTATGTGATTTATGATGAATGATAATAGTTTGTTCTAGGAAAAATTATCTTCTACATTAAGATATGTCATATCAAATCATGTATCTCAAACTACCAACAACGTCTATATATAATTATTTCGTGGTGTATTCTCAAGTATACTATCAACATTATTATTTATGGTATTATAGACCTTCTATTATGGACTTATTTACTGAACATTTTCATACTTGAGTTACCTAAAATAACATTTGATATTAATTCTTTTGCTAACTTCAATAGGGCATGTAATAACGTTGTCAGCACGCTTGGAAAACCTTTTATTTACCGGTATTATAATACAGAATCTAATTTTAAGGTAAGCTGGGTTCAGACCATTAAGTTATAACTTGAATATAATAGTATTTATTTAGCACATTTGCGTATACATGGGTCGGAAACCAGCAAATAATTTATATTGACTCATGAAAACGTCAGATTCAAGAAAGAACCTCGAGGCCTGGTTTCGGTCTTGAGTATTATACTTTCGAAGAGAATGTGCGACTATATTTCTTGATTCATTTGAATACGGATCAGAGTCTGCGAATCTATGACCTAGCCTTGCTTGTTATGTTGTCTTTAAAATTGAAAATTTAAGTTTTCTTAAAAAAAAAGAAAGTTACGTACCTTGATTTTAGCCTGAAAGAAAATGTATATTTTATCGTTTCAAAATTGAAATAAGTAAAAACATCGTAAAACGTAAAAGTAAAGGTGCCTAATTGCACAGATCAATCTCGAAGGAAAATTGTATGCTCAGCTGATCTTATATTAAAACAACTGTCCCCTACATAACGGTAGCCTTTTCACATATTGATGATCTGTTTAAATCGCTCTTGAACCTCCTTTCAAAATATGAATGAAAAAGGGAAAAATATTTTATTGAAAATTATCCGTTTTAAAAGGAAATGCTTGTTTTTTAAAGATGAAAGAATGTCGAGCATGTTTTTTTTAAATGAAAGAATGTCGTGCCACACAGAACATTTTCAATATTATTTTTCGATATTTTTATCATTTTTTGAAATACATGCATGCTCTTACAACCGATATTTTTATTGAAATGATTAACCTTTTATCCAGACTTGTTTTGGTCTATTTGTCTACAACTTATGTGGCATGAGCTCTCATTTAAACCGATAACTATCTGTAGAAGAGCTACCATTTAGTAGGGGTACATTAGCTTAATGTGTCGATTTCGATCATATTCAATTCTACAAACTAATATAATACAGTTTACAGCATGTATACACAACCCTAAGGCTGGAGCGCTTATAAGCGTCGTCTACAATAAAATATATTGTATTCAAATATTTCCAGAATAACAAAGGTAGTAATATAAAGCAAACTTTTTAACAACGACTCGCTATATAATCAGCAAATTACTCTTACACTATCCTAATATATCCAAGGTTTTTACAAAATTAATACAGGTACTGTCAATTTGACTTCCTTTACGTAAACTTACATTTTCATGTCCCCATGCATCTTGGAAGTCTGTCTAAAAAGGAGCAATTAATTTGAAAACATTAATTTCAAGAAACATTTTTAGTCACATTTATTGATATAAATGACATATATTTTCACCTCAATAATAGAACATGTCATGAATACAATTTTTATGTAATGATATTTTACTGTTATTACACTTTAAATAGGACGAACTTTTTTATCAAATATATTGGCGATATAGACAGCTTTCCTTGTCTTATACAAAAGGAAAACTAGAACTGTGTCCAAAGGACAAGGATGCCCCCACTGACAACATATATATGGTATATAGTGAAAAAATCAACAAAGGGCCATAATTCTGTTAAATTTGGTCGCAGCGAAAATTCCTTCCTTTACTACCATCTACACATTAAGGTTGTTCATCCCTGGAAGTTTAAGCAAAATCTGCCATCCGGTTTAAGAGGAGTTGCGTTCACAAAATTTCTATATGTATATAGTTAAAAAATCAATAAAGGGCCATAATTCTGTTAAATTTGGTCGCAGCGAAAATTCCTTCCTTTACTACCATCTACACATTAAGGTTGTTCATCCCTGAGAGGTTTAAGCAAAATCTGCCATCCGGTTTAAGAGGAGTTGCGTTCACAAAATTTCTATATGTATATAGTTAAAAAATCAATAAAGGGCCATAATTCTGTTAAATTTGGTCGCAGCAAAAATTCCTTCCTTTACCGCCATCTACACATTAAGGTTGTTCATCCCTGGAAGTTTAAGCAAAATCTGCCATCCGATTTTAGAGGAGTTGCGTTCACAAATTTCTACATAGTATATAGTGAAAAAATCAACAAAGGGCCATAATTCTGTTAAATTTGGTCGCAGCGAAAATGCCTTCCATTACTACCATCTACACATTAAGGTTGTTCATCCCTGGAAGTTTATGCAAAATCTGCCATCAGGTTTAAGAGGAGTTGCGTTCACAAGATTTCGGGACGGACGGACAGACGGACGGACAAGTGCAACGCTATATGCCCCCACTTTGTGGGGGCATAAAAATAACAATTATATATATATATATTTAAATTTTATATTTACCCCGCTGCTAAGTCGAGGCGGCTTTCTCTGAAAAGTTAATGACAAAACAATTGCGCTGAGAATATATTGCATCAATCACAATGATTTTTGACAATCATGTATTAGCTGAATGTTTCGACAATCGTATATTCTCTGCTTTTTTTATCACACTTCGGATATGAAGAATAACAGGGATGCCCGATTAAGCTGTGGATTATCCAATTTGCGTATTTTAGTACACCATTTGAACAAAGTCCGCAAAACAATAGCTAACGGAGATCTTCAAAACTAAGATAGCCTACAAGTTACATTGAACTGTGATTGACAAATTTGAATGAGTTAATTCAAAACAAAGTTAAGATACAAAAGATATAAAATGCCACGAACCATTACTGAAATCATATTGTGACATTGAAGTTAAAAAAATGTAGAAAGGGGAAAAAAAGTTCAAACTCATGTTCCGTTAAAATTGACAGAGGTGCGGATATTCGAAAAAACAAAACAAAAAACCCCCAAAAAACAACAACCATAGATACTTGTATAAGTAAATAAACTAAAATATATATTGTTTTGAGTATATTTATAATGTAAATGTAACAAGATTGCCGTGCCTTCAGAATCATGCTCCAGGATATAACATGACTCGGAACAAACAAACTGTGTTATGATGATAGAAAGCAATAAAACAGTTCTAATATTGGCATTTTTTAGCAGATGTTTAAATAACGACAGTATATATGACACGAATTGAAAAAAGGGGAAACATATGCTGAAAACTAAAAAGTAAAAAGAAATTCATAACAAAGCCTTCCTAGTGGCAGACCAATTAAAATACACTTTCAGTTTTATTCAAATCCATGCTATTAAATAAAAAAACAGAAAGTGTATGACATCAATGGAAAAAAAGTATCAAGGGATTAAAGAGAAGGCAGATGGAAGTGATGGTTGCTTTGAGTAAAACAACAGGAGGATATTATGAAATAACAACCGTGTTAGGTTGTTCCTATGGGAAAATATACAACGCACACTGCTAAAGAGTCAACAGGGTCAGTAAGTATGCATGTCTCTCCAGATCTTGTCAATAAGAAAAACACCAAAAATGACTAGAATGGAATGACAATTGAAGAGTGCACACGTGCGATTGGTGACAGCTTGAACTCCAGTACCAGAGGTAAGAAAACATTTGTTAAATTAAATCGGTACATGATTCTTAATCATCTAAGGAAGTGTTCTGAGTCAGCAAGAGCAACAGCAAGGACTAAATTAAGTACTCCTGGCCGACCGATTAGCCATCAGACAGTAGTACATTGTCGCCTCAGAGCCTCAGGTTTGTGTGCTCGTTGTCCGAGAAAGGTTGTAAGTCTCACTGCTAGATATCGCCAGACACGCCTAGAATATGCTAGACGGGCTGTTTGGGCGAATGTCCTGTTCGTCGAAGAGACAAGAAAAAGACTCTGACAAGCAGATGGTCGCACGCGTGTTAAAAGACACCTAGGGGAACGAAACAGTGACCCGTGTGTGATTTTAGCAGATCGTTTTGATGGTAACTCGATTATGACCTGGGGAGGAGTCTTTATGCAGATTTAAATCCAATTTAAATATTTGCGGGACTTGTTAAAACGTAGTCTTAGCACGTCGGCAACCCTTCGATGTTCATTATTTTGGCTATGTTAGCCTATTAAAATTTGTAACAAAATCCCACAGAGGTATATCCATGAGAGCCCGTTGCGGGGCTGTAATTGCAGCAAGAGGTGGCTACAAACGGTATTAACAGGGTTGTAGACTAAATCATGTCACATTTTTCCGGGAAGATGTTGAGATGAACCTAGAAGATTTTACTGTTGTCAATAAATTTGTTTTTTAATTGTCATATGTTGTTTTGCATTTCTACCAAACAGTAAGCCTCAAACTTGCATGGAACTAAGTGGCTATTTTTTTTCCTTCAGTAATTGTATGTACAAAATGTATATACATGTATACATATAGTAGTACTACACAGTAGTGTAAGTACCATCTATCCAACAGTTTTTATGACATTATATTTTACAGAGATAAAAAAGTTTGTAAAAAGGCGCTGTAAAATTTTAACGAGTGACTGTAATATTTCAACAAATTATACGTATGATTTATTATAACTCTAGTTATATTACAGTTATTCTTTATAAGTTTCACCAGTTACTTCCAAATTTACTTAATGTGAAACGTATAATTATTTAAACTAAAAGTAATACAATTATTATGTAATTTATGCTTATAATTAACTTTTTAAGATAACAATTGCTTACCGTGGTTGTAGAAGACGGCCTTCCTTCTTCTATCTCAGTTCCTACATTTGAAAAAAAACCACACATTTATCACAGAATGAGAGAATTATATATATTTGTTTTTATTAACTTATTACTTAAAGATATTCATAATTTACTCCTACGATCGGATAGGGCAGTCGTTATAGGTCAATAGCTCTGCCATTTCTTGACGTTGAGCCTTCTCCGTTGGTGCTTATGAAAGCATATATATCCTTTCAATAAACAACAAGCGAGGTATTACACAAGCGTAAAATGGCTGCAAAGGATTGGTCAGCAGTGCACTGCATACCCTTACAAGCAAGAACCGAAAGAATGCTACCTAGACGAATGTCTGTTTTGATCTGCGCAGTTGTTGAAATTAAAGGGAAGCATTACGACCGTACTAGTAATACTCGTTTTATACTGTGACAAGACGGGTACGACAGTGCCGTGTGTCACCATGTATCTCATTTATATATAGACAGTGCTGACACGCTCGTAAAAGTTTATCATAATGCCTTGGACATTAATTGATTATATCCATAAAAAACGATATCTAAACTTTTAATTAGCAAACGACCAAACAATAAAACATCAAATTTAAGCATAAATATAGTATATAAGACATTAAAGGCATCAGACCGGTTACCAAATCTAACCAAAGTAAAAAAAATAACCACAGGTGTGACCTCGCCTTACTATATAAAAGGCGTCTTTTAAATTTATTGAAGCCAGAACTATGTCCGCACCGAACTATCCTAATCTCAAAAGAAAAAATACAAAACATCAAAAGATATATATACATTCAAATTTCCCCAAAACGAACTTTGTTCCTATTTTATAATAGTAAACAAATTGATAGATTGAAAAATCAGATGTTTTATTACAATGCAATGCAACAGCTCTTACAACGCTACATTTTGTCCAAATGCGAAACAGTTCCCCAGACAACGTGTTTACTTTTAGCCTGGTTTCATGATGTTAAATCTAGGTAAACTGCAGACAGTTGCACAGTCCATTATTTGTATACGGAGATAAGAAAACATTGTCTTTCCATTTGAAGAAAATGAGAAAAAAATGTTTTGCAACGAAGCAACAAATTTAAAATTGGTCCTGAAGTGTAAAGCCTATGTATGTGAATGTTTTTATGTTCTTACGTTTTTATTGGCAACTCGCAAAATAAATCATGTTATTCAGTAGTAAATCATGCGTCTAATTCAAGCAGCCGAATGAAACAAAACAAATTCTAACCAAGATTGTTTTTAATGCCGCAATATAAAGCAACCGAAACGTTTTTTTTGTTCTTTTTAAGTCGCCACTATTTCGGCTAGAACATGAAATCGCCTGTCGCCTAAAGTAAAAGTATAGGGTTCACCCACTCCCTGTCCCCCAAACCATAACCGTTAACAGTTCATTTAGGACTGTACAATAGTATCAAAACAATACCTGCTAATCTTTCATGATGTCTTATGTTCAACGGCGCTTCAAAAAGATCCACCACGGTTGACAAACATTCTGTTGTTTTGTTCAGCAATCCCGATTTCTGTTCTATGTTCTGTAAAATGGAGACTTAATATCTATTTATAAGTAATTATATCTTAAAAATAAGAAATTACTTATCTTCTGTTTAAATACATTTGAAACAAAATGCCTCATAGATTGAGAACATTGTCAATGTCAAAATTGAAATAAGTAGTTTATTCAAGTCCTGTATTTATTAAATAAAATCTTTATTACGTAAAGACACATTGTTACCCTCATAGAAACATTTCATGTCGAAATATTTATTAGATTAATCGTTTGTTGATAATTTACAATAATAACGAGGTTCCATTGTAACTGGCATAATGCAAGGCACTGTCAACCAACACGTAATTCAAATCGACAACTTAAGAATTGGAAAGTCCTTTGATCAAAAATAAATCAAATGGCTGCAAACTTATTATTTTCAGTCACATATTAAATTGCCAAAGGATTCGATGAAGATCATATTGATTAGTCACAGATATTCCTTATAAATTTTGTACAATTATGTCTTTCCATTTGCGTTTTAAAAAAGTTTTTATGGCTTTGTCATTTAGAGGTATCATCATTTAGCTGTAAATTGTTATGAGTTATAGGTACAGGTACGAGAGCTGTAAATATTCATGACTCCGTAGTCATTTAGTTAAGTTTGCAACCAATTTTCTCGCTTGAACCAAGTGTGCAACCACTTCACGTCCTGTCCCCTGCTACAGTAACTGTCTGTAACATGCACAATGTGCCGCTTATTGAAGAATACAGATTTTGTGTTAAGGGTTAATTAAGCTATTTACAGTTACTAACATACTTTCAGTAACTGACGACAATGATAGTGCGTGTTTTGTATTACGATGTACACACAGATACAAATTTTATACATTAAAGTATGAGGACATGTCATAATTAAAAAACAACTTTGCAAAACTACTTATAAATATTGTTGTTTTCCTTTTCAAAATAATAAGAGATAAAACAGGGAATAGATCCGCTTGCTATATGCTTTTAGATAAACATATTAATTAGAGTGTATATATCAAAACTACTCAAGCAGAATGAATATGGGTATAAGTGACCAAAAGTCTATGTAGGGAATCATATTGTATTGAAATAAAAGTAACATTGCAATAAAGTAAATCATTTTGCAACATTATGACAAATATGTCATGATGTAATTTTCGAACGGTATTCATGCCACTCAAGCGAAACGTCACGTATAATTTTTTATTTTTTTTGCACGAGAAATTGCCACGTCTTTCATTTGTACTTTTACACAATTATGTTCGTAAGTGACCTTGTCAATAAGAAAAACACCAAAAATGACTAGCATGACAATTGAAGAGTGCACACGTGCGATTGGAATGGTGACAGCTTGAGCTCTAGTACCAGAGGTAAGAAACCATTTGTTAAATTAAATCGGTACATGATTCTTAATCATCTAAGAAAGTGTTCTGAGCCAGCTAGAGCAACAGCAAGGACTAAATTAGATACTCATGGCCGACCGATTAGCCCTCAGACAGTACATTGTCGTCTCAGAGCCACAGGTGTGCGTGCCCGTCGTCCGAGAAAGGTTGTAAGTCTCACTGCTAGATATCGCCAGACACGCCTAGAATATGCTAGACGGGCTGTTTGGGCGAATGTCCTGTTCGTCGAAGAGACAAGAAAAAGACTCTGACAAGCAGATGGGCGCACGCGTGTTAATAGACACCTAGGGGAATGCAACAGTGACCCGTGTGTGATTTTAGCAGATCGTTTTGATGGTGACTCGATTATGACCTGGGGAAGTGTCTATATGCAGATTTAAATTCAATTGAAATATTTGCGGGACTTGTTAAAACGTAAAGTCTAAGCACGTCGGCAACCCTTCGATTTACATTACTCTGGCTATGTTAGCCTATCAAATATGTAACCAAATCCCACAGAGGTATATCCAAAGATATATCATATCCATGAGAGCCCATTGCGGGGCTGTAATTGCAGCAAGAGGTGGCTTCAAACGGTATTAACAGGGTTGTAGACTAAATAATGTCACTTTTTTCGGGAAGTTGTTTAGATGAACCTAGAAGATTTTACTGTTGTCAATAAATTATTTTTAAATCATCATACATTTGTATGTTGTTTTGCATTTCTACCAAACAGTAAGCCTCAAACTTGCATAGAACTAAGTGGTTATTTTTTTCCTTTAGTAATTGTATGTACAAAATGTATATACATGTATACATATAGTACATGTAGTACTACACAGTAGTACAAGTAACATCTATCCAACAGTTTTTATGACATTATATTTTACAGAGATAAAAAAGTTTGTAAAAAGGGGCTGTAAAATTTTAATGAGTGAATGTAACATTTTAGCATTTTATTATAATTGTAGTTATATTACAGTTATTCTTTATAAGTTTCACCAGTTACTTCCAAATTTACTTAATGTGATAAGTATACAATGTAATTATTTAAACTAAAAGTAATACAATTATTATGTAATTCATGCTTATAATTAACTTTTTAAGATAACAATTGCTTACCGTGGTTGTAGAAGACGGCCTTCCTTCCTCTATCTCAGTTTCTGCATTTGAAAAAAAACCACACATTTATCAGAGTGATAGAATTATATTAATTTGTTTGTATTAACTTATTACTTTAATATATTCATAATTTACTCCTACGATAGGATAGGACAGTCGTTAGATGTCAATAGCTCTGCCATTTCTTGACATTGAGCCTTCTCCGTTGGTGCTTATGAAAGCATATATATCCTTTCAATAAACAACCAGCGAGGTATTACGCAAGTGTAAAATGGCTGCAAAGGATTGGTCAGCAGTGCACTGCATACCTTTACAAGAAAGAACCGAAAAAAATGCTACCTAGACGAATGTCTGTTTTGATCTGCGTAGTTGTTGAAATTAAAGGGGAAGCGTTACGATCGTACTAGTAATACTCGTTTTATACTGTGACAAGACGGGTACGATAGTGCCGTGATTCCGACACCATGTGTCTCATTAGTGCTGACTCGCTCGTAAAAGTTTATCATAATGCCTTGGACATTAATTGATTATATCCTAATAAACAATATCTAATCAAATTTGAGCATAAATATAGTATTTAAGACATTAAAGGCATCAGACCCGTTACCAAATCTAACCAAAATAAAAAATAACCACAGTTGTTACCTCGCCTTACTATATAAAAGGCGTCTTTAAAATTTATTGAAGCCAGAACTTTGTCCGCACCGAACTATCCTAATCTCAAAAGAAAAAATACAAAACTTTAAAAGATATATATACATTCAAATTTCCCTAAAACGAACTTCGTTCCTAGTAGTAAACAAATTGATAGATTGAAAAAATCAGATGTTTTATTACAATGCAATGCAACAGCTCTTACACCGCTCCATTTGGTCCAAATGCGAAACAGTTCCCCAGACAACGTGTTTACTTTTAGCCTGGTTCCATGATGTTAAATCTAGGTAAACTACAGACAGTTGCACAGTCCATTATTTGTATACGGAGATTAGAAAACATTGTCTTTCCATTTGAAAAAATTGAAGAAAAAAATGTTTTGCAACGAAGCAAGAAATTTAAAATTGGTCCTGAAGTATAAAGCCGATGTATGTGAATGTTGTTATGTTCTTGTGTTTTTATTGGCAACTCGCAAAATAAATTATGTCATTCAGTAGTAAATCATGCGTCTTATTCAAATCCTATAAGACTCGGCTGCTGTGCAGCCGAATGTAACAAAACAAATTCTTACCAAGATTGTTTTTTAATGCCGCAACATAAACCAGCCGAAAGGTATTTTCTTTCTAATGCCGCCACTATTTCGGCTAGAACATGAAAACACCTGTCGCATAAAGTAAAAATCCATACGGTTCATCCACTCCCTGTCTCACAAACCCCAACCGTAAACAGTTCATTTATGACTGTACAGTAGTATTAAAACATTACCTGCTAATCTTTCATGATGTCTTATGTTCAACGGCGCTTCAAAAACATCTACCACGGTTGGCAAACATTCTGTTGTTTTGTTCAGCAATCCCGATTTCTGTTCTGTAATGTTCTGTAAAATGGAGACTTTCTATTTATAAGTAACTATATCTTATAAATAAGAAATTACTTATCTTCTGTTTAAATACATTTGAAACAAAATGCCCCATAGATTGAGAACAGTGTCAAAGTAAAAATTAAAATAAGTAGTTTATTCAAGTCCTGTATTTATTAAATAAAATCTTTATAACGTAAAGACACATTGTTACCCTCGATGAAACATTTCATTTCGAAATATTTATTAGATTAATCGTTTGTTGATAATTTACAGTAATACCGAGGTTCAATTGTAATTGGCATAATGCAAGACACTGCCAACCAACACGTAATTCAAATCTACAATTTAAGAATTGGAAAGACATTTGATAAAAAATAAATCAAAAAGCCGAAATAGATATCATTTGATTTTGTGTAAAATAATACGGTTGTCTGGGTCTCTTTAAGTGTATAATACGTTTTTACCCCTCACTTGTTCCAGATCAGCTGTTTGGTTTGTGAAACATTGAATGGTTAATATTTTGATCAAATGAACAATCCATATGTTGTAGATTAAAAATAGCCGTTGACCTGAGTATGGTGGCTGGTTAACGCCATAACGTATTGCAATTTTGACGCCAGAAATACGAAAATATAAAAACAAAGATGCGAGAAAGTAGTCGCATTTTTGCAGCTAAAATGCTTAAGGACGACAAAAGAAGGACGATTAAATAACATAGAATCGTGTCTTTTAAATGTCTAAAATGTCGTGTATTTGCAAAATTGCACAAAAAAAATCAACTTTGTCATGTTTTCGTATTTTCGCAATGCTGCATTGTCGCAGCGCAAAGCTGTATTGCAGTGTCGCATATTTAATGTATCCTTTTTTCATATTTGTACGAATATAAATATATCAGCATTTATTGAAACATTTAAACTAATAATATATACTCACTACAGGTAAATGTTTAGATCTACGTTTGATGACTTTTGTCTGAAAAAAAAAGAATAAAATGTTCTGTCCATCCTAGTACCAAGTAATACAATTCCACATATATTTATATTCAGGATATATAGAAGCCTAGCAGTATTTGTTATATTCAATAATATATCAAATTAACGATTCAAAATATATGAAACAAAAATATATTTAATGAATTATAGGATTTCGAAGTTACTTTTAATTTTTATCTCTTGTAAACTACCTACCTTTTTCTTTTCCTGAAAAGAAGCAATTCTCATAGTTATTTACAACGAAAAATGAAAAACAAATAAAAAACAAATAAAATCATATTTGTAAATATATGGTATAAAAATATTGTGGAATATCCTAAAGATCTCCAAACCGGCAAAATAAAAAATGTTGCAGAGTCGGTTTGATTGAAGCTGTTCATGGGTAAGCTACCGTCCACGCACACAAACACCGGCTCAATATGTTGAATTTAGAAACATGTGCAGATGAGTCCATAAGGCGGTTATCATTGAACATTCAAACCAAGGGCGAAACTAAATAAAATGAAATTTTGAGAGGGTATCAAAGGTTATGAAGTATGCATATTACAGACAAACTGTCAAAAGACAAATTAGGCAACATATCCTAAGAGTAATTTAACGTGATTAAATTAAGAATACTGGAACCACCAAACTAGAGAAAACGCCAAATAGGGAAAACTAAAAGTACCCCAAACACAAGTGAACGATCTTCATGGATCGGAAATATGATTGTATGCATGGGACAACTTTATACGACTTCCACAAAAAATGATGGTGTGGCAATGGAATATAGAATAATAATTTATACTGACCTCGGTAGAAAACTTGAATCATACCGAAAAGATCCATGATGTCAGTTATTTATACATGGAACTATTAAACTTTTTTCCTGTTTGAAAGACGGCCTCTGTTACTTACAGCAATTATTATCCAAGATAAATTGTGAAAAAAGTTATATTGTCTTCTACATATTCAAAATGTAATATCATCAGCAAAGACTGTATCAAAAAGGTGCTTTACATGTATAACATCTGTCTGGTTTTGCATGAAATGGGGTTGATCTACAATGGGGACATTTCCAAAAGCATTTCACATATTGATTAAAACAATAGAAATATATCATTTGGATATTCTTATAAGAAGAATATTTCTTTTAAAAAAATGTTGATGAAATTGTATGTGATTTATCATGAACTTTTTATGATGAATTATAATAGTTTGTTCTAGAAACTGGAACTACGCGATTGGGATGTGTCGCCTTGTCAACAGTATAGACGTCAGTTAGGCATTTTCTTCTTAAATATAGGTTATTTATAAACACTGCTCTTGCAATGCACATGCATCTTTAACTTTAGTATCATCTGAACTGATTGTAACATTATTACAGCAGGATTAATAAAACTGTTATATTATCAAAAATAAAAATACCATGCAAAGTTTTATGCTGACATATCAAATGAAGGACTCTGTGATGTGTACACTGCACTTTAGGTCAATGAAAGAAGCTTGCATGCAAAATTTGAAGTCAATCAATCTTTAAGTGACCAAGTTATGCTCTAAAGAAGCCTACTAAGTATGACAATAACACAAAAATCATGAAGTGCATAGTACAACTTATTGTGCACTGCACTTCTTCTCAATGAGATCTATTATATAATGAAGTTTCAAGTCCATAGCTTTTACAGTTTTAACTTTAGGAAAAATGACCCGGACAAAAAGAATTTATGAAAATTAACAAAGGGCTATAACTTACTGGACAGGCCTATTAAGTATGAAAATTAACAAAGGGCAATAACTCAAAACTCATGAAGTGCAGAGAACAAGTTATTGTGCACTGCACTCCTTCTCAATGAGATCCATCATCGTATGAAGTTTCAAGTTTATAAGTTTTAAAGTTAAGGAGAATTTGCCCAACAAAAATAAAGTATGAATATTAACAAAGGGCAATAACAAAATAAAGATATAAAGAGTAACGATTCATGTGCACTGCACTTTGGGACATTACAAAAAAGCATGTATATCAAGTTTGGTGTCAATCCAACCCATAGTGACTGAGTTATGCTCCGGACAATCCCGAGGGGATGCAACCGATACCGCCGTCAAAAGTAACCCCTATATGTTAACTTTTTCAAGGCGACACAAAGCTAGAAATCGTAACAAATGACGAATATCACCGACATGCGCTTGTCAGAAATCGTAATTCTTAGTTTGAAATTTTGCACATAGTGAGAATGCAGTAGTTTATAGACTTTTTGTCAATTGTTTTTGAATTATTTGTCCTACATCAATAAGATAAATTAAAGTTTGGATTTGGAGTTTTTATGACTTCTTTTTAATGCAATAGGTTTTTTTCTCCCTGCAACTTCTGCACTTCTACTCAGTGAGATCTATCTACCTACAAAGTTTTGTGTTGATACCTTTTATAGTTCTCAAGTAATGTCATGGACAAAGTGCTAAGTGTGAAAATGAACAAAAGGCAATATCTCCAAAATAAGGGAAGAACATAAGGGTTACAGTTCTCATGCAATGCACTTTTACTCAGAAAGATCTAACTACCTACATAGTTTCAAGTTGATACCTTTTATAGTTTTCAAGTTATGTGTCGGACAAAATTCAAAATGTAAAAATAAACAAAGTGCAATAACTCCAAAATTTGTGATGGGAGGGTTACGGTTCTTATTAATTGCACATCTACTCCGTGAGATCTATCTACCTACAATGTTTTAAGTTGATACCTTTTACAGTTTTCTGGTTATATCCCGGACAAAGTTAAAAGTGTAAAAATGAACAAAGAGCAAAAACTCCAAAATTAAGGTTCTTACGTACCGTACTTCTACTCATTCAGATCTATCTACCTACAAAATTAGAAGTCGAATTCTACTATACATTCAGATTTATGTCCCGGACAGGTTTTGCAACCGACCGCCCGACCGACTCCCACTTGACTCCAGTATACCCCCAAAAACTTTGTTCGTCGGGTATACCCCCACAAACTTTGTTTGTCGGGAATATCATTATTATCTTATATATTAGATATGTCATATCAAATCATGTATCTCAAACTTTCTAACAACATCTATATACAATAATTTCATGTTTTATTCTCAAAATAGAGAAAAACAGAATCCCTAAAGAAAGTCAAACACGCGTAATTGAAAATATTGCAGGCTCGGTTTGAGTTAGCCTGTTCATGGACGTTACTGGAAAGTGCAAGTTACCGTTTACGCCCATCGAGCACTGGCCAAAGCAGAATTCAACATAAC